GCTGAATGGTACTGCCCTTGATACTGGCCATGTAGTCAGAAACTGTAAGGCTGGAGGTGATGTCCTGGTAGTCAGTAAATGTGGGGCTGATAGTGCTGTCCTGGGAGACAGTAATGGTGAAGCTGGAGGTGCTGTCCTGGGAGACAGTAATGGTGAAGCTGGAGGTGCTGTCCTGGGAGACAGTAATGGTGAAGCTGGAGGTGCTGTCCTGGGAGACAGTAATGGTGAAGCTGGAGGTGCTGTCCTGGGAGACAGCAATGGTGAAGCTGGAGGTCCTGTCCTGGGAGACAGTAATGGTGAAGCTGGAGATTTTGTCCAGGTAGTCGGGAATTATACGCAGGAAGGAATACATATAAATGACCTCATAGGGGACAGGAGCCGTAGTGGGGAAACAAGTGTAGTCAAAGATAAGATAAAACCAATATTACTAGAAATACCACAGGAAATAGCAAACAAGAGGACTCCACTAGCAATAGTGAGGATATATTACCAAAAACAACTGGTGGGAGCTCCATTGTTGGTGCTAGGGAGGATAGGAATAAGACAGGGAAACATGCACCAACAGGGAATACAGTCACAGAAACCCAAGGCAAACGGAAACCAAGCCTGTGCACATACTATGCACTTGGTATCTGCAGACATGGGAAATCTGAAAAAACAGACGGGACATGCAACTATGACCACCCTAGAAAATGCCATGCCCATATGACAACAGGAAAATGCAAACTCCCTTCCTGTAAGCTTTTTCACCCTGAAATGTGTACCTCTTCAGTACAGGAAAGACGGTGCTATAACTTAAATTGCCAGGCACACCATCTAAAGGGGACAAAAAGATACAAAACATCCAGGCCATGGGAAAACCTGGGTACCCACAGCCACTTAAGAGGGAGAGGTTTTTTAGTGCCAGGAAGGAAAAAAAACTGGCAGGAAATGGCAGAAATTGTACACCAAATCCAGTCATTCCTGGAGTTGAACCACAGTCGATGGCCTCCACTCCAAACCAACAGATACAGATACTAATGCCGGAAAAAAAATCCCCCTCCAGTACCAACAATACCACCAGTCCGATGACATTCTTCTTTGCAAATATACAGGGTTAGATCTAAAGCCAGCAACAAACAACAAAATACCTTTCATCCATGGACTGCTTGCAGAGGCAAAGGCAAGGTTCTCGGCTTTCACTGAGACCCACATAAAGGATCACTTGGACAACGAAATATGGATCCCAGGTTACAACCTATACAGATGTGACAGAGTGAACAGGCAAAAGGGGGGGGGGTTGGCCTGTACATTGCAGAGTCACTTGTTTGCACAGAACTGCTTAATGCCTCAAATGATGTAGTGGAAGTTTTAGCAGTAAAGGTCGAGAACCAAAACCTAGTCATTGTGGTAGTCTACAAGCCTCCGGATGCAACATCCCAGCAATTCCAGGAACAGCTGTTAAAAATTGACCACTGTCTGGAAAATCTTCCAGCTCCTGCACCCAACATCTTGCTCCTGGGGGATTTTCAACTTAAGGCACCTAAAATGGAGGAATATAGCAAATAATATTGTTGCAGTAATAACACCAGGAGGCAGCTCTGATGAAAACTCACACTCACACGAGCTTTTAAATCTCTGCACAAAATTCAATTTAAACCAGCAAATAATAGAGCCTACTAGACTGGAGAATACACTAGACCTCATCTTCACTAACAATGATGATCTGATAAGAAATGTCACCATATCAAAAACAATATACTCAGATCACAACATAATTGAGGTTCAGACATGTATGCGTGGAGCCCCAGACCGACATAATGAGATTAGTCACGAGGGAGCATTCACCAAATTCAACTTCAATAACAAAAACATAAAGTGGGACCAAGTAAACCAAGTCCTAACCGATATAAGCTGGGAAGATATACTAAGCAAACACAGACCCCAACTTATGCCTAGAACAGATTAACTTGGTGGCACTTGATGTATGCACAAGGCTTATTCCTCTAAGAAAAAGGAGGAGTAGATGTAAAACAGAAAGAGACAGGCGCTCCCTTTACAGGCGACGGAAAAGAATAACAGAGCGGCTAAAAGAGGTCAATATATCTGAAATGCGTAGGGAGACACTGGTCAGAGAAATAGCAAGCATCGAACTTAAGCTAAAGGAATCTTATAGGAGTCAGGAATTGCGGGAAGAACTAAAAGCCATAAATGAAATCGAAAGAAACCCAAAGTATTTCTTCTCCTATGCCAAATCCAAGTCAAGAACAACGTCCAGTATTGGGCCCCTACTTAAACAAGATGGGTCCTACACAGATGACAGCAAGGAAATGAGTGAGCTACTCAAGTCCCAATATGACTCAGTTTTTAGCAAGCCGCTAACCAGACTGAGTCGAAGATCAAAATGAATTTTTCATGAGAGAGCCACAGAATTTGGTTAACACAAGCCTATCCGATGTTATCCTGACGCCAAATGACTTCGAACAGGCGATAAATGACATGCCCATGCACTCTGCCCCAGGGCCAGACTCATGGAACTCCGTGTTCATCAAGAACTGCAAGAAACCCCTATCACGAGCCTTTTCCATCCTATGGAGAGGGAGCATGGACACGGGGGTCATCCCACAGTTACTAAAAACAACAGACATAACCCCACTCCACAAAGGGGGCAGTAAAGCAACAGCAAAGAACTACAGACCGATAGCACTAACATCCCATATCATAAAAATCTTTGAAAGGTTCCTAAGAAGCAAGATCACCACCCATCTAGAAACCCATCAGTTACACAACCCAGGGCAACATGGGTTTAGAACAGGTCGCTCCTGTCTGTCTCAACTATTGGATCACTACGACAAGGTCCTAGATGCACTAGAAGACAAAAAGAATGCAGATGTAATATATACAGACTTTGCAAAAGCCTTCGACAAGTGTGACCATGGCGTAATAGCGCACAAAATGCATGCTAAAGGAATAACAGGAAAAGTCGGTCGATGGATCTATAATTTCCTCACTAACAGAACACAGAGAGTAGTCGTCAACAGAGTAAAGTCCAAGGCAGCTACGGTGAAAAGCTCTGTTCTACAAGGCACAGTACTCGCTCCCATCTTGTTCCTCATCCTCATATCTGACATAGACAAGGATGTCAGCCACAGCACTGTGTCTTCCTTTGCAGATGACAACCGAATCTGCATGACAGTGTCTTCCATTGCAGACACTGCAAGGCTCCAGGCGGACATCAACCAAATCTTTCAGTGGGCTGCAGAAAACAATATGAAGTTCAACGATGAGAAATTTCAATTACTCAGATATGGTAAACACGAGGAAATTAAATCTTCATCAGAGTACAAAACAAAATTCTGGCCACAAAATAGAGCGAAACACCAACGTCAAAGACCTGGGAGTGATCATGTCGGAGGATCTCACCTTCAAGGACCATAACATTGTATCAATCGCATCTGCTAGAAAAATGACAGGATGGATAATGAGAACCTTCAAAACTAGGGAGGCCAAGCCCATGATGACACTCTTCAGGTCACTTGTTCTATCTAGGCTGGAATATTGCTGCACACTAACAGCACCTTTCAAGGCAGGTGAAATTGCTGACCTAGAAAATGTACAGAGAACCTTCACGGCGTGCATAACGGAGATAAAACACCTCAATTACTGGGAGCGCTTGAGGTTCCTAAACCTGTATTCCCTGGAATGCAGGCGGGAGAGATACATGATTATATACACCTGGAAAATCCTAGAGGGACTAGTACCGAACTTGCACACGAAAATCACTCACTACGAAAGCAAAAGAGACCATACAATAAGTGTCAGGGGCCCGAGACTGTTCAACTGCCTCCCAGCATACATAAGGGGGATTACCAACAGACCCCTGGCAGTCTTCAAGCTGGCACTGGACAAGCACCTAAAGTCGGTTCCTGACCAGCCGGGCTGTGGCTCGTACGTTGGTTTGCGTGCAGCCAGCAGTAACAGCCTGGTTAATCAGGCTCTGATCCACCAGGAGGCCTGGTCACAGACCGGGCCGCGGGGGCATTGACCCCCGGAACTCTCTCCAGGTAAACTCCAGGTCTACTTTTGTAGCACTACGAATTTGAACGTCGATCTGTTTGGACCGTTTAAGGGTTAAACCACTGTATTTCTCTTTATTCTCGGATAGGAAAAATTCTCTCTTTCACCTACCAAAATACACCAGAATATTTTTCCTAGAATTTACTTTGCTTATTTTATTTGCACATGGAAAATTTTCTTTACTGTTACATTTTAAAGAAGTTATTTGCTCTGTTAGTAGCTCAGAATTAACAAAATGCTGTCATCCCACTCTTCCTGCTGCAATCAGACATATCTTAATAGCTAAGGAAATGATTCTTAGTGTTTCCTCATTCTTAGAGAAAACTTTCACCTGCTGAAAATATAACTATTTGATAATCATTCTCAGAGCTAACACATTTATATACTGCATCCAGCAGTTACAGACTGGTTGATCAGGCCCTGATCCACTGTTAGGCCAGGTCATGGAGCAGGCTGTGGGGGCATTGACCCCTGGAACACCCTCCAAGTATACTGTACTTAACATATGTGCATATCCTCCCCTAACATAAGAGTATTTTTGCTTATTACCAAGCTGTAACAGATCCAGTACTATATATATTTTATTCTCATCTCTTTATCAGAATTTTCTTAAAAAATATATATATATAAATTTAGCCTTTTCATGACCATTAATTATTACACCTATATATGAGCAGTAAGTAGCCCGCACTTAAGGAATTTAATGTTCTTTAACTCATGAAAGCAATTCTGGAAGCAACTAATCGTAATGAGGTGAAGTTTTTTTTTGAACCCTGCCAAGCAGTGTGAAATAAGCAATACAAATATTATTACAGCCTAATTTAGGATATGCTTCCTTTGTTTTTGTTAATTAAATTTCATGGTGTTTCCTTTTACCCATTACATTTTAAATCTTTCCTTTTTATAATTATTTTGACACTAAAAAAACACTAGTTCATCTGCAGTTGGTGGGCCGACTATGCTCTAAAGGGGTACAGCATGTGCTGAGTGCAGCACTGTGTCTCCAGGAAGAGCTGCCATGATGCATCGCTTTCATCCAACTGCTCGTTATGAGCATGTCACTGTCAATTGCTGCTCACACTGCAATGGCGAGATCAAAGTTGTGTGATCGAGGTTAATGTCAACTTCAGTTATTTCTGTTTATAGTATAAGTAAAGCCTTGATTTAACGGACTTATAGGAGGGGTTTTTTGAGTTCCTGTTTAATAAGAATAATGATAAAAATGGCAAAAAAACACTTAAGTACTCTATACCTAATGTTGTACTCTACTTACAATTTACTGTTATCTTGCAATAAACATTAAAAATAGAGGTATTAAAAGTACAATTTATCCACTGGATTTTGCCTGTTATTTTTAAAAATCCATTGTGTCAAGGTCCATTATATCAAGGGTTTTCTGTATGTCTACATAATCTTATGAATATTATTTCACATCATTTTACATAGATCATTTGTTTGTAATAATAATATGTCTTTTGAGAGTGGTCCTAATGGTTTGCCAGCATGAATTAATATAATTGCCTCAGTGAACATCATTGTATGTTTTAATTTGTGATGCTCAACTCATGAAAATATTACTTGGTATTCCATTTTGAGCCATTAACTGTCTATTTGCCATAAATATGAGCACTATATGAAAGACCCTGTAATTTTCTATTGTTATTGAGGCTTCAATATTTACTCAAAATATTTCAGCATGAAAACTTCTTCAGAACTTTTGGTAATATATTTCTGCTGAATTTTCCATGTTGGTTTGAATTATCATGATAGTCACAATTAACTTATATAGGTATGTTAAAATATGTTGAAGGCACAATTTTAGCTTTTGTATACAATAGTTTGTTGAAGCTGGAGATATATTTTAAGCATTAGATTTATAAAGTTTGTTACAACTATTATATATTTTATGTAATAGTATAATCCAGAGTTACATCTGTTCAAAATATAATTATATTTTTAAATGATCATGTATTTGAATGGGTTGTTTAGTATCACCATTGTGTATGGAGCTTTGCCTTTTTTTTTTTTTTTACCAACAAATAATACAAGTTTACATACACATCTGCATTTTAAATGCACATTGTTGACTGGAGCTTTAAAAATTATTTTTGTAATATTGCAACAGACATATGCTACTCGTTTAAAAATAAAGTGAGGTTGGTTGATATAATATGGATAGGTAATATATACACTGCCTGAATTGCATTATTTGCTACCAATATTACTCATCTTGTAGGTATACTCATAGTATTTTTTTGTCTATTTTTGTAATGAGCATGATGTCTCAAATATTACACATGAGCTGTGATTACAATGAAAATGTAATTATTGATGCACTGTATATTCTTAAATGCTTGAATAAACATTTTTATGTATATTTTTTAAATAGGTGAATGAGAAATAGTAATGTAGGTGCATACATAATTATACATAATTCTTAATGTACACTTATATAATATATACATAACATATATATTGTAGTATATATTTATAATGTTAGAAATTGTCAGAATTTTTTTTTTTTTTTTTTTTTTTTTTTTTTGCTATATGCTGCTTCTAATAACTTTATAATTTCTCTGAAAGATTTAAACATGAAGAAATCATAATTAATAGTATTTGTCCCATGATTAGCTCATGGAGGATCTTACCTCCACCATTCCTTGCACGGGATGAGGTGTTTAGAGCTTCATATAACACATACGAGAGAGCTTCATATAACACATACGAGCATCATAATGAAACCGACTGTAGTACAAGGAATCGCAGTTCAGTACCATTCACTTTATTTTCAGTTACAGTACTCTCTCAAAATATCTATCCATTAATGAAGAAAGTCACATTACTGGGGCTGGAACAATTGACCTAAATCCCTTAAGATGAGTTTTGGTCCATCCAGGACCATTCTCAAGCCACATTCAGAGCAAGAAACAGAGATGGCCAGAAGACAATACCGTATTGTCTTCTGGCCATAGTTAAAAGGCTCCTTGATTATGGAGACCAAGTCTATTCTGCAGCTTCTTCTGCAGCTCTTTCTAAGTTAGATCCCTTTCATCATCAGGGTCTATGTTTATTCTTTGTTGAAAGCCTTAGCAGATCTTTGCGATGCTCACTACCTTGGTACTTTGTCCTCTCTCATGACCTTCAGGTTCCTTCTACGTATAGGTTGGTCTCAGACATTAGTAGAGGCCCGTTATTTGATCAGTGCCCCTGCTTACTCCGTCCATTTTCTCTACATTTTCACTCACACTGGTCCTCTCTCCAGTTGCCTCTCTTGTATGTTTATGTAGCATCTGCCTTTTCCCTTTCCCTTTGGGAGATTCTGACAGTTCATGTGTGTTCTCCCATACTGCCGTGTTCGAGGTGGTGTTCCCTGACAGTATTATCCGAGGTCATTTGTTAGACTCGGCTAGTATTTTTACTGCTGAGTTGTATGACATCCTCATAGCACTTCTCCATATTACATGTATGTCTCCTTCAGCATTTGTGATCATTTCAAATTCCCTCGGTGCTTTACAGGTCATTAAACAATTTGATTCCCCTCATCCATTGGTCCTGCATATTCAACTTTGGTTGCACCGTGTAGCTAGCAAAAACTGGTCTCACAGGCCATAAAATTTACTTGAAAAAATAAAATATTAAAAAATAAAAGAAAAACGCACATTAAAAGTAAATTACAGAGTGACCGGCAACCGCCGATGTTGCCATAAGAGGTAAGACGCCATTTCTGTTGGGTCCCCGGGCATGATGTGTAGGGCAATGAACAGGCGGATGCTGTTGCATGGTTGGCGGTGCGTGATCGTCCAGTTTCCTACAGAGGTATTCCGTTCAGGGATTATTTTATCATTTCTACCTGTCTTTGCAGCCATTGGCAACAACGGTGGTCGGACAAGCACCATAACAAATTGCGCTCTATTAAACAGCTTTTCGGTCTATGACTATCTTCTTACCACCGTTGCCATACTCGGGAGTCTGTGCTTCCCCATCTCTGCATGGGTCATACTCGCCTTACCCGTGGGTATCTCGTAGAATGACACCCTGTTCTTCTCTGTGAAGTTTGTTGGGTCCCTGTTTGAGTTGTTCACTTTCTTGTGGATTGTCTGGTTTACCAGCAAGCTCACAGGATTTACCTGCACCGACGCTGCCACCCTACCTCTCTTACCTTGCCTTCCCTTCTTGCAGACGGCCCTGCGTTCCACTTACGATCACTTTTTGACTTTTTGTCAGCAACTGCTTTACTATACGAACTTGAACACACAGCCCCTAACGTCCTTTCCAGCCCTTTTCTCCCCTCACCTTTGATCTCCTTTGCACCTAACTGTTTATAGCCCCAGCACCATTTTCTGCCCAGCAGTGCTGCATGACCCTTTTCAGTTTAGTGCTTTATTTGATTTTAAAATAAAAGACTTTTCTCCTATGTGTGTTTCTTTAGTGACTATCCAGTTGTTTATATTTGCAATAAAATCACAGTAAACAGGTGATATCACAATATGCAAAACAATAAACACTGAAAAAGTAGTGAATTTCCAAGTGCTTTCGTGATTTCTCACATTATCAAGGAACAGTTCCTTGATAATGTGAGAAATCACGAAAGTGCTTGGAAAGTCACTTTTTCACGGTGGTTATTTTGCACATATACATACCTATAGTATCTTATTAAAATCAGATTGTTATTTGCCTTTAGCTGCAAAAGCACATACTTTCAATTACTGTAACAGAACAGAGTTAGAAATTAAAATATTTTAATTTTTTGGCATTTGTTAACCAAATTTCATGGCAAGAAAGTAGATCATATTCATAGCTGGTTCATGGGGAAATATTAACTGCACTTAAAATTTGGAGAGTAGCTATTTTACCAGAAAATTATTGGTTTTAATGGTGTAAATGATATGGTGATAAACTGTGGAAAAGGACACTTGTGTACAGCTCAGGACATTTATGAAATGAAATGTTTTGCCGTGAGTGATTTCATCGGTCCTGAAGATGACTGGTGAAGCCACTTGTGGCAAAATGTGCTGTATAGCCCTTGTGGCTTAGCGCTTCTTTTTGATTATAATAATAATAATGTGGCAAAACGTTTCACCACCTGTGGTTTTATCAGGCCTGTTGGGACTGGTAAAGCCACTCCTGGCAAATTGTTTCCTTTAATAAATTCCCTGAACTGTACACAATTGTCCTCTTTCACACCATTGTATTTAATGTATAATCATCCCATGTTGAGTTACTACACAAATACAATGAAGCGAACTGTTACATTATTGTATATCTTGTAAACTGTTTCCAAATAAAGTTTTTTCACCTCTTGTTATGCTCTATGCTTAACCTCACCCTTGTTGGTGAAGGACTTTTGATCCAAGGAATTGGAACTAAACTTCCCTTCCTTGGAGCAAACCTGATTACCTGTCATTTTCTTTTGGAGTATATGAGTCTTTAACCCGTAAACGGTCCAAACGTATATATACGTTTTTTCAACATTTGAAAGTATGTAAAAAAAAGTAGATCATCTTTTTGTTTTGTTTTTACATTTGAAAATGTGTAAAAAAAACTTTGATGTACTTTTCTTTTTTTTTGTCATATTTGAAAATATGTAAAAAAAACGTAGATCTACTTTTGTAGCACTACACATGTGAACGTAGATTTGCTTGGACCATTTACGGGTTAAAGGCTTAGCACATCACAATGACCATAATATATGGGGTAACCTCTGCTATCTATTTAAACCTGACAATGAGTTAACCCATCAAGTTCATAATTTACCTGTGGTACAATGATGATTTAGCTCATCAAGTATATAATGCACATGATTTAACTCATCATGTACATGTGGTACAATGATGATTTAGCTCATCAAGTATATAATGCACATGATTTAACTCATCATGTACATGTGGTACAATGATGATTTAGCTCATCAAGTATATAATGCACATGATTTAACTCATCATGTACATGTGGTACAATGATGATTCAACTCATAAAGTATGTAATGTACATGCTGCATTATTATAATGGGAAGATGTGGATGACAGGCTCTTAATCCAGGGTATTGAACCTTTCCTTTTCCTTGGATCAAACCTAATGGCCTCCTATTCCCTAGATGCTGTATGACCCTTATGGGTTTAGCCCTTCCTTATGAATTTAATTCAATGATTCATTAAAATTCCTGTGACCCAAAAGGGTTTAGCACTTCCTGCAAATATTACAATTTTAATAGAAACTGCCACGCTATAAATATTTCTGCATCAATAATGATAAACAGGAACCTTGTTGGTGAGAGGTACTTGATCCTAGAAACTGGAGCTAGTTATCCCACCCTTGGATCAAACGTTACCGTCTTCCATTCTTCAGGGATTGTATGACACCTACAGATTTAAAGCTTCAAAATGGAAAGAACAGCAATGAAATATATACTGTCCACGAATACTGATGGAGTCAATATCTCGATTCATCAAGGCTGAGGTGTTGATCACTTCAAATAATTTCTTTATGTCTTCCTTTGTCTCCAGTGGATTCATGAAGGCTGAGGTACTGATCACATCAAAAAATTTCTTTTTTCATGTTTTCTACCTCAAATAATTTCTTCTTGTCTTATACATTGTCTGTCTCCAATGGATTCATGAAGGCTGAGGGACTGATCACTTCAAACAACTTCAAGTCTTCCACCATGTACAATATTATTCACTGAGCTGCATTAACAAAGCCACTGGTTGGTGAAATATCTGAAATATAGTGAAGTGTTACACAAGTGTCTTCTTCATCAGCACTGAAGTACGTACCTTCTCCAGTATACCTTTCTTATTTGTTTTATTCTCTTCACTAACTAGTATGGATTTTTTGATGAACACTACTCAAGGGAGGCCCCTTGATGCCAGTGTAGTGAACTTGATCAAAGGAATTGGACCTGGCATCCTATACCTTGGATCAAACTTGATTGCTTCTCATTACCTCAAGTACTGTATAGCCCCTGTAAGTATATACAAGAGGACCCCGCTTATGCACGTTAGATTCCAGCCTACTGGTGTAGAGCGAAAATCTCTGTACAGTGAAACATAACCTTTCTTCACTTTCAAATGCATATAAAAGTCTGATAACATATTTACGCTATCACATATTAAGTGAGCAATAGAGCTAGGTCTAAAAAATGCACATACAGTACACACGTTACTTACCTTAAAATATTTTCGTACTTAGCTTATAGTGAGTGGTGAATATTTTATTGTAGGAAGTCTGAATAAATGATGAATGAGTATAAATGAAAACTGCTACATAAACAAAATGCTGTAAAGAGAAGCACTGTAAAGCAGGCCCTGCCTGTACAGCAATAACAGTTATTGGTAAGACAATCACAAAAAAAGTTGAGCTGGTATTTTCCTGAGAGCTAAGGCGGTGTGAAGCAAATACTGCTCTCTGAAATTAATGTATTATTTAAATATAATTGAAAACCAAAACATTTAATTACAAGTCTGCCAAATAACATCATGCTCATCAGTGAAGTGAAAAAGTGAGCCATGTTCTTTGGTAATTATAAGTTATTATCTTTTTTTTTTTTTTTTTAACAAGTTGGCCGTCTCCCACCGAGGCAGAAAATCCCCAAAAAGAAAATACTTTCATCATTCAACACTTTCACCTCACTCATACATTATCACTGTTTTTGCAGAGGTGCCCAGAATACAATAGTTTAGAAGCATATACATATAAAGATACACAATATATCCCTCCAAACTGCCAATATCCCAAACCCCTCCTTTAAAGTGCAGGCATTGTACTTCCCATTTCCAGTACTCAAGTCCGGTTATATAAAAATAACTGGTTTCCCTGAATCCCTTCACTAAATATTACCCTGCTCATACTCCAACAGCTTGTCAGGTCCCATTCATCTCCATTCATTCCTAACACGCTCATGCATGCTTGCTGGAAGTCCAAGCCCCTCTCCCACAAAACCTCCTTTATCCCTTCCCTCCAACCTTTTTGAGGACGACCCCTACGCCGCCTTCCTTTCCCTATAGATTTATAGGCTTTCCATGTCATTCTACTTTGATCCATTCTCTCTAAATGACCAAACCACCTCAACAACCCCTCTTCAGCCCTCTGATTAATACTTTTATTAACTCCACACCTTCTCCTAATTTCCACACTCCGAATTCTCTGCATAATATTTACACCACACATTGCCCTTAGACAGGACATCTCCACTGCCTCCGTCTCCTCGCTGCTGCATTTACCACCCAAGCTTCACACCCATATAAGAGTGTTGGTACTGCTATACTTTCATACATTCCCTTCTTTGCCTCCATAGATAATGTTTTTTGTCTCCACATATACCTCAATGCACCGCTCACTGTTTTTCCTTCATCAGTTCTATGGTTAACCTCATCCTTCATACATCCATCTGCTGACACATCAACTCCAAAATATCTGAAATTTACTTCTTCCATACTCTTCCTCCCCAATTTGATATCCAATTTTTCTTTATCTAAATCATTTGATACCCTCATCACCTTACTCTTTTTCTATGTTCACTTTCAACTTTCTACCTTTACACACTTTGTAGTATATTAATAAAGCAATAAAAGGACCCCAGTGGAAATAAGTCACTATGTCTGACTTTTTTGGCAGGTTATCCTAGGTTCTCTACACATATGCTGCTATGTATGATAATTCTATGTAACTGTATTTGTGTATAAATGAATAAACTTAATTACGTTTGACGGGTGCCAGCTACATGGACATCTTCCACCGAGGCAGGGTGATCCGAAAAAAAAGAAACGAAAGCTTCTCCTTTTTCGGATCACCCTTTGTTTTACATTTAGTAATATATACAGGAGAAGGGGTTACTAGCCTCTTGCTCCTGGCACTGTGGTTTCCGGACTTGAATCCTGGAGGTGGGAAGTACAGTACCTGCACTCTGAAAGAAAGGTATAAATGCTGTAGCTGGAGGGTCAGTTGAACTCTGATTAATAATACTAATAGTAATAAGAATAATAATACAGCTGACAAATCTGAATTTTTTTTGAATGGTTCAGTCACAGATGGAGTGAAGACAATAACAAAAGTGCATGGAAAAGTTATAGACAGTGATGCACAAATGAAAACAGAGCAATGAACAGAAGAGTCACAAATGTTGTTCAGCGAAGCTGTGAGACATTTTGAGAATGACCAAACAACAAAAGGAAAAGTCTGAACCAAAACTGCTTCGCAGTTGCACCAGAAGAAAAAGACAACAGTAACACAGTAGGTAACCAGGAGATGGAATAGAACTCACGCGAAATGACAGGGTGTTCTTAGTGGAAACAAGCAGAATCGAAGTCAAAGAGAAAAGGAACACCAAAGAGAACCATTCACCACAAACAAAAAAGAAAAAGAGGCGAAAACTTTCGAGTGAGCTGGACACAGGGTCAATAGGACAGTGAAGTATCACCATGAATTAACGAGAGGGAGCATGCCGTGTTCCTCCCTTAAGTCAATGTGACCTGACCTGACTAGGTTGGGTGCATTGGCTTAAGCCGGTAGGAGACTTGGACCTGCCTCGCATGGGCCAGTAGGCCTTCTGCAGTGTTCCTTCGTTCTTATGTTCTTATGTTCTTATATACATATGCATAAGAATATTTACCTCACAGTTTACAGGCTTTTTCACCTATGTTCAGTTTGGCTCTCCGGCACCAGTGTCCAGCAGTAGTTGACCATCAAACTGATCATCAGGTTTCCCCAGCATCTCTTCTTCATGATGGGCTTGTGAAATCGTTCACTGTGGGGTTCTATTTCATAGCAACTGTAAGTGATGAAGTAAAACTAAGTGCAGGTTTGGATTCGAAATCCCAAAATCACCCTCACTTTCCGTCTATCACCATCACTATGATATATATGTAGTTTATAGTAATGGTGATATATGTACTGTACAGTGATGGTGATATATGTAGTGTATAGTGATGGTAATAGATGTAATATATAATCATGAAGAAGTACTCTATAGTGATGGTGATAGACGTAATGTATACTAATAGTGATAGACGTAATGTATACTAATAGTGATAGAAATGTAAGTAGTATAATAGTGATAGATGTAGAGTATAGTGAGGTTGATAGGTGCAGTGTATAGTGAGGGCGATGTAGTGTAAAGTGAGGTGATAGATGAAGTGTAAAGTCCAATAAGCAAAATGAAACTAGTTTTTGCCACAAATATGTGAAAATCAATCTCAACAAACCGAAATGTAAGTAATATTAAATAAATTTAAATTTACCCTAGATATACAGAGAAAAATTTAGTTTAAAAAATTAGATTATCTTTTAAATATCTTTCAGCCTGTAAATCTTTGTCAGTGCAAAATTCGACTTAGTGGAAATTATTAAATGATACCAGGTCGCACTTAATGCAAGCCAAAATTTAATTAATAATAATAATGATAAGTATCGTCTTTAGATAATGGAATCAAGGAAATTATTATATTCATAGTAAGAGATGCAAAACCACGGAGGGTTATACAGCGCCAGGAAGATGGAAGGATAAAAGGTAGATTTTTATTTCTTTGCAAAGGTTACAATGTGTAATTACAATTTTGATTTGTTAAGTACAAAACAGAAGCCACTATCATGCCAAGGCATTTCAGGCAGACAATTCGAGAAGGCAATCAGATTTGAAGGGAGAGGTGAGTTTCAATTTTTTTTTTTTTTCGGGGGGGGGGTCTGTAAACTCAGTATTGTAATCCTTATAGAGAATAAACTTTGAATTTGAATTTACCATTATGTAACCACTTTCCCTTGAAGAGTAATACTACTACTACTATTACCACTACTACTACTACTTCTATTACAACTATTACTACTACTACTACTACAATTACTATTACAACTACTACTATTACTACTACTACTATTACAACTATTATTACTATTACTACTGCTACTACTACTACTATTACTACTATTATTACAACTACTATTACTACTACTACTACTGTTACTGCTACTAATAATAATAATGAGAATAAAAATGTATAGTTTTTGCATGTTTGTGGTCGGGAAAATTGTTTAGCATATTAATACTTTTTTAACGTATTTATTTTAACTATTGTTAATATATATTAGGAAAAGGAGGTGCATTTTACAGCAGGTTTATCATATTTAATAAATATAATTTTTGTTAGGATATTGTGGACAATTTTGATAATTTTTCCTTGTGATTTGTGTGTAATAAGTGATGGGAATAATAGAGTTTATAAAATTTCGTGTAGATGTATATCTTTAATGTGACTTTTAAAAGGTGTTGCGTCGCGCAAGAATCAATATTCTCTATAATTTACTTACATTCTGTAAGGAATTGATTAAGGAATTTTTTTTTTTTTTTTGTAATTTAGAAAAAATTAATATTCCAGTAATGGAAGTGTTATTTAAATTAATTGAACAAATGTACTAGTACACAAAACTTTTTTTTGGAAGGGGGGGGGGTTACTCGAAGATGGGTAATGTGTGTATAGAACCAATGAGTATTGCAATTAATCGAGGGTCATCGGGCCCGATAGGAAAATTATCGGCTGATTCTTACAACGAAAAGAAGAACTAGTGTGCATTGTATCTGAAAAAGTCCAGATCTGTGAAATAACTGTCAAATTAATGCTAACAAGGATAGAAAAACGGGACGCAGTGTTGTCTGAATGAGGACTTGGATCAGTAGTGTATTGTAATAGTGTATTCTCTTCCAAGTTTGTTTTAAATCTCATGCAACAGGTATGGTAGCTACGTATTAGTCAATATTTATGTTGCCGTCCTGGTAGGGAGGCATTAGGATACATATCACCAATACCTTGGTAAGTAAGTCATATGTTCTTCACTATCATTATCATTATTTATAACTGTTTAAAAAAATTGTAGACCAAACAAAAATACTTATTCATCAGTCTAAATTAACTTTTCCTTAATTATATAGTCCATAAATATATTAAATAAGCTAAGTTTACTGGTTTAAATTTTTTCCTTCTTAAATATTCAAGAACTATATTTTCACATAATTTTAAGGTCTAGACGTGAGTTGGGGAGCTGAGACGGTGGGTACTGAAGGACGGACAATACTGCCATCTATTGTTCCTAAAGTCCCACATGTTTCCAAACTACGTCTACATAAGTGAATAATCGTTTTAGATGTATTAAGGTTCTTCCCAGTCATGTGGGTGAGAGGTTAATTCACCCACGTAATTTCTCACAGATATATTAGAGAAAGGAGTAGTTTTTACGGTAACTTGGAAGATGCTGGCAAACAGAAGTCAAGGTTCGTCTGCTTGCCATGGTGACAAGAGCTCTCTCTTCACACGCTGAGAGTCTGGGTTCGATTCCCGGCAAGGGTAAAAGCATTGGGCGTGTTTCCTTACACCAGTTGTCCATGTTTCCCGTCAGTAAAATGGGTACCTGGGTGTTAGTCGACTGGTGCGGGTCGCATCATGGGACAAAACTCGCCTAATTCCCCCGAAATGCTGTGCACAACAAGCGGCTTTCTATACAGTAGTATATCATTGATGTCAGCTAGACCTGTATAGCATGTACATGTACTTGTAGAAGTATAGATATTATTATTATTATTATATTATTATTACCATACTTAATTTTAGCATGAAACAATGTTTGTACAGAAGTGAATGACATTTAAGTGTACATGCAGAAATCCCCTTAATATCCAGCTCACTTCAGGCAAAATAATGCAGTATAGTACAGTATAATGCAGTATGCCATTATAGTATTCAACTAGAAAACACTTTGACCTTCCTAAGAGTTTCAGCTCGGCTGTCCGTCCCGGTATGCTATGCTAGTTTTTGCAAACTAGTATAAATATACATAAAAAAAACATGATGCCATTTACATAACACCTTGAATAAGGAGGAGATCCCTGTGTACAACGAGGAAAATGTACAGGATTCAAGCCGTCAAAGTCTCCTTATTCTTCACTTCAAAGGATCAGACTCCGTTATCTACTTAAGTTTTAGCGCCATTAATCAGACTAACGTTTTTCCTCAAAGTTTTATGTAACGCATTTCAAGAGGATCCTGCTGTGGACGTAGAGACAATTCACAAACAAGTGGTTTTAAGCAAATAAACTGCACTGGCCGGGAGTTATTTGCTTAAAATCACATGTTCATGGATGCATTAATATTTAAACTGCTGGTGTAGCTGGTATTCCACATGAGAGAAGAATGAAATTAGAGAGGATGAACCAGCAAGACATGGTCTAGCATTTACAACAAGTGTATCCGAAATAGGTGAAATGAAATGCGAAAGCCTTCTGGGTTCTTTTGACCATTCAGTGCTGAATTTCGAATCCTTTGTGAAGTATACACTGAAGAAAGAACAACCAGTAGTGGACGGGCGGAAAACAGATTTCACAAGAAACTCTGAAGGGACAAGAGAATTCCTGAATGCAGCGCAGTGGGAAGAGAACATGATGGAAACCAAGGAATGTATGATGGAGTACCTATAGCTGGGAAGTGCAGGTATGAAGAGGAGAACGTCACACCCAGAGAAAACAGGAGAAAATATTAAAAAATAAAGAGATCCTATAGTTCAGTTATAGATGGAATGAAGAAAATAACAGTGCTCAAGCACAGAGAAGCTATATAAAGCGACGGACAAAAGAAAACAAAACAGAAGAGCCACAAATGTCGTTCAACGAAGCTGAGCGACATTTTGAGAATGACCAAACAGCAGGTAATAAGGAGATGGAATAGAACTCATGAGAAATGGCAAGGAAACAGAGGAAAAATCGAAGAGTCAAAAAGAAAAGGAACACCAAGGAGAACAGTTCACCACAAACCAAACAGAAAAAGAGGCGAAAAGTTTTGAGTGAGTTGGACACAGGGTCACTAGGACAGTGAAGTATCACAATGGCTGGATTAACGAGAAAGAGCAGACACATTGAACCACTAT